TATATATATATATATATATATATATATAAAATCTTAAATATAAATTATATATGACAATATATATAATATATACATGTTATCCTTTGTAGATTTATAAATCATTTGTCTACAATTTTACTATAGACACTAAGTCCTTGAAATAGAAAATCCAATGATTTGTGTCCATTAAGCAGCAAGAGATGTAGTTTAATTTTAACAGAATTTATTTTCTGCATTGGCCTTTCATAAGTGTTTCAATCAGAACTTATGAAGAGCCTCCTGTGGGCAGGCACTAGGCTTGATGTATATAGTTATAGTTCCTGGCCTTCCTGCAGTTAATGCTCCTGAGGAGGAAATAGATCGAAAACAAGAAACAAATTAATTACAAATTGTGTTTGGAGAATTAGGTCAAATTAACAGCCCAAGTGGAGCTGACCTTTTCTTTTTCCTCTCTTCATTAACTTTCTAATTGACATTTAGATGAATTCGGCAATGCATATGTGCAACACTTTTAACACAGTTCAGCTGCATGAAAACATGGTGGAAACAATTTGAGTACCATACTGTACAAAGTAAAGCAAAGCATTAAATCAATATATTCTCCCCTGGATTCTTCCCTGGCATCTGTTCAAGTTTAGGGCAAAGGAGTGAGGAACTCACAAACCATAACTGAAAAAACTCTGGGTATTCAACAATTTTGAATATCTACTCACAAAATAACCCACTTAGCACTATAAAAAAATATTTTTATCACTAGAGTGAACATTGAGAATATACCTTTTCTGTCCAAAATAACCTTTTGCTCAAAATGTTTCAACATCTGATCTCAGCCTTGCTCCATCTTCCCAGTCTTAACTTCATTTGCTCCTACTTAATACAGTTGATACTAAAGTCATCTAAAAGGATGTGGCTCTTAGCTCCATGGATGCAATTATTATGACGTGTGCCTTCCATCCTTACCCAGTAGAAATTGTATGTTGCCAAGAATGATTGATTTATTACTGCCTTTGTACTTGATTTTGTCATTATTCATTATTTTCTTTGTCAAACAGACCCACACTCTTCTTCACATAATCACCCAGTCCTGTCTCTCAGTAAGCAAAGTAGCTGATGGCTCCCAGAAGCCCACTGTGGAAACATGTAATGATAGCCCTTTGCAAAAATGGCTACTAAGAAACTATACAAGAATGGAAGTTTTTAGAAATATTTTTGAGAATCCTACTGATTACATTCTCTAATAAGTCTTGTAAATTTGTTTTGCAGACTGTTAAATTTATTTTACTATTTTTGTTATGTTCTGTTATTGAAATCTAGAAATTCTTTAAAATGTACTTAAGAAAAATCTTTATGTGCTATTTCTCCATGGAGTTACTTTTCTGTCTTTTACTTTTAGCTGCTTATTAATTTGGAGGCTGACTATATTAAGAAGTGTTTGGTCAATTATTAATAGACATTTTCCAGTTTTTACTTTATTTCAAATATTTATATATGCATAAATATAATTAATGGTATACATTATGACATATTAGCTTTCTTAGGCTAACTATAGTCATGTTTATATAATAGATTTTGCATTAGAGCTAAAAATAATCAATTAAAAAAAAACATAGCCAAAACTATGGATTGTTTTGGGGACATTAAAATTAATTAATCTGGTTATTTTTTTATTCAGATACTTCCATTGTGTGCAGATTTAGGGTAGCTTTTCTAGAATTTATTATTTTAACCTGAAGCTTTAAGGAAATGCATTTTTGAAAACTAAAATGTAATTTTCAGTAAGTTTATAACATAAATTATATCTAAGATTTTCTTTGTGGTTGGCTAAGTGATACAATAAAAGATTTTTAAAAATTATACCTTTTATCACCTGTGTGATTTGTGAATATCTTCTCAGTAAGCAATGAAAAGAATCGTTATTCAGTTTAAGTCAAAAAACCAGTATGGAATTCTTATAAAGAGTGCAAATAAGAACATGTCCTAGTTCTTGATCTTAAGGGGATTATCGTCCTGTAAATAAAGGACATTACATTGTGCAATAGCTTCCTAGGAGAACACATGGGAAGTTAGGGCATTATTCTGGTTCGAATGAACCAGTTCAAGTTGTTAGAAGACACAACGGAGCTTGGAATGCTCAGTGACAAGGCTGAATGGGGTATGGAGACGAGTGAAGACAAGGGGCATTATTTACATCAGAACTGCATTCAAGACGTGTTAGAAAGCTGGGAAAGTTTGGACGTTTTGCACAGAGAACTTGTGTACCAGGTAATTTACATATATTATCTTAGTTTGTTTTCAAAGCCTACCTGGCAGTGTAATGCCCAAAAGGGGTCTTCTTAGAGTTAACTAGACACTTAGTGTCCCAAGTTTATTTACATAATTCTAGGGCAGAAACCACGACTTGCTTCTGTCAGCAGACCCTGCAGCAGTTCATCTAGCCTTAGGGGAGCTAGCTCTTCAACAGGTGACAGCCCTCTGTGAAGGGATGAGAGCCATATCAGGGTGGTGTGGCAACCACCCTTGAAGCACTGAACACGTATGTATGTAACCACTCCATAGGCCCAGCTCTGAGGAACCCAAAAGAGTATGCAAAACTACAAGCCTTGGTGCTTCGAGATGCCCAGGATTTGGTTTCCTATCAGGTGTTTATAATGCGGCGTATCAGATACAGATGCAATTTATCATTCAGAGGTTATTTTTAATGTTGCCTAGAAACATGTTAACATTGTTACCCTTATCAGATCACTAAGGGGGATCACAGTTATGTAGTTGAATGAAGGTTAAATTTGTTAAGCAGATGGGAAAAGAGCATTTTTAAATACTTATATGTATAGTTAAGCATTTTCTGATAAAGAATCAGGTCCTCAAAATGATTTGGCGGCTTGCCCAAGTGTTCATGGCTGGTAACTGGGGCAACAGGAATTCAAACTGAGGTCTACCTGACCCTAAAAGGTCTGGTCTTTCTACTGCACTACATTAAAAAGGAGAGGTTTTTGGGGAGTTCCTTGTTATCTTTACAGTGGTGGCTTTTGACTATTAATGAATTCCTTCAAAGAAAATACTTTTTAGGAAAATATACTAATATTGTGTAAATTATCACTATGTACTTGATAAGCTGATCCTTAAAGTCACATTTAAAAAAAAGATCTAATGGAAGCAATCAAGGCTAAATTGCTTTTTTTCAAAGAGGACATGTATATACGAAGGACCTCAGGTAAGTAACAAAAATAAAGAATATTTTGTTGATTTTAATGAAAATTTTCTAGAAAAAATGTTTTGTTTTTCAAGTTGGTTGCTGGTTCAATTAGCCAACAGCATAATTTCTAGCATCATAAGCCATCTTCTGGCATCATCATCCATCTTCTTGCCTATATTTTGCCACTTCATTTTCTCTCTCTTTTTAGTATAAATAGCTTGATTTCATGTATTGAAAGAGCAACAAAGGCCTCAATCTTGAAATCTTCTTCACGTTTAATAGCCTTGTGCTTTTAATTTCCTGCTTGTTGTCTATTAAGCATCCCCCACAAGCCTATTTTCCATCCCATCTCTTCTCAGGACAGTGCAGTCCAGGGTATTTGCAGTCCTAATCCAAACAAATTACAACTGTCCAGGCAGTGTTTCTCCACCATTTTTATTTCATGCCCCCTGTTTCTTTTGAGAGAGAGGGTGTGTATGCACACAGGGGAATGGACAGAGAGAATCTTAGGCAGCACAGACCCCTATGCAGCTAAATCTCAGAACTGTGAGATCATGACCTGAGCCAAAATCAAGAACTGGGTGCTGAATTGACTGAGCCACCCAGGTGCTCCCTCCACATTTTTAAAATCCAACTTTCAGTGTAATATCAAGATCCACCCCCCACTTCCCCCAAAAAGACTTGTCGACCTTTAATTTTGGTATTTGCAACAAAAGTATAATGTGTGCTTTTTTCAAGATATACCGGCAAATCACCTGCCATATGTTCAAACACTTTTCTTCAGGTTGGGAGTTTTTCCATATAAGAGGATTCTAGGCATTGCCCATGAAACTGAGCAGAAATTTATATAATTTATGTGCATAAGTCAATATGCATAAAACATGTGGATTTAAAATGTATGTTTGAAAAGTTTAAAAGTATGATTTCAAAATATAAATGTGAACTTGGGGCTCCTGGGTGGCTCAGTTGGTTAAGCATCCAACTCTTGTTTTGGCTCAGGTCATGATCTCATGGTTCCTGAGTTTGAGCCCTGCACCAGGCTCTGTGCTGATAGCGCAGGGCATGCTTGGATTCTCTCTCTCTGTCCCTCTTTCTTTCTCTCTCTGTCCCTCTCCTGCTCATGTTCTCTTTCTTTCTCGCTCTCTCAAAATAAATAAAACTTTAAAAAATTATATAAATGTGAACTCAAAAGACAAAATATGTGATGACTGGTTCACATGGTACAATTACTGAAATTACATTTCAGCATTTGGGTACTGAGAGGATGCTTATTAATGAAAATCATTATTATGCAGAAAGTAAAATATAGATATAAGATTTTAAAATATATGACCATAACATCCCTTTTTATATTTGGCACTGACATTTTTAATATGCTTAAAAATGAAAACCAAAATATGGTGAGCATACTATCAAGTTCTTTGTTGCTATGATAATCATTCTTCTACACTGAATGTCTCATAGCCACAGATACTATGGTGTGTTTAGTATTTTGAAATGGGAACATCTCTAGCAGTTTTGTTCATTTGGGTCACAGCTGTGACATCTCTTTGCATGTTTACCAAATGGTTACTGAAGAACACACGCCTAAGAAAACGAAGGCTTTGTGAAAGCATGTTAATATTTGCAGCCCTCAAGTGAACTCAGAGCTCACAAATGGGCTTTTTGCAAAGGAGCCTGAATTCTTGGCAATGCATGATAAAGGTCAGCCAATTTCCTTAACCATCTGCAGATAAAGGTGCATTAGACAATGATGAAACTGTAACACTAAAAGTTATATAATAATTCAGAGCCACATGCACAGTTTGATTCACAAACATATAGATCACTGGGTTTACAGTAAAAAAATAAGGGATTTTTAAAAGAGATTTAATCTGATGAGCTAGTGAAGTTCAAGATAAAATAGGTTGCACTGATTATTGGTTATCTTTTACAGAGACTCACCTTGAGGCATGTTAACAGTAACCAATGCCTCGATGAACCTTCCGAAGAAGACAAAATGGTGCCTACCATGCAGGACTGTAGTGGAAGCAGATCCCAACAGTGGCTGCTAAGAAACATGACCTTGGGGGCATGAAGATCGTTTCCCCAAAGCCGTGGAAGTGTCTACACTTTTGTTTTTCCATTATTTCAATTAGGGAAAAATATTAACTTTGCTGAGTGGGAAGTTTTAAAATCCTTTTAGTATTCTAAAATACAGTTGTTTATAATTCATTTTTAGGAATGTTTGCTTATTTCCCTACTAAAATTTGTATCTGATCAAAGAAGCACATAAAATACATAAATAACAGCAAACTGTTATTAAACATCAGAACAACTTGAAAAAGAAATTGTGTTTGCTTTAAAAAGAAATCTTTACTGCCCTCATCTCACAAGATTAGTCAGGGGCTTGTTTTAATTTTGTTCTTGTCCTAGTGATTGAAAGAGAAACAATGTAAATGCCTTATGAAATATCTTCATTAGGATAGATTATCAAATGTTTTTAAAACTCACTCGGTTTCTAATGGACCTTCATGGAAACATTTGAATTTCTGTGTCAACAAGGCCACGAATTATTTCTGAGCAGTGAATTCATCGTACAAAATAAGTTTCAATTTTGTAGGAAAAAATTAAATTGGATATTGACTTCTCACAGAGTCCTCATAAAAGCATCACAGTTACACAGAATAGAGGAGAGTTTGAAAGTTCAATTTAAAGGGCATGAAATCAGAAGAAACTAGTTAGGCATTGAGGGGGGCAAGGTGAAGCTAAGGTGAAAAAAAAAATAAATCATTTTAAAAGATATTCTGTTTGGGTTGCAATCACTCCTAACATAGTTTGAGCATAACCATCATCTTGGTCCCAGAGTTGATGCCAGAAACTCAATTCCTAACCACTGCCTCTGTGTCGCATAAACTACATAAACCCTTTTCACTCTAGAGCATGACTTGTCTCTTAGGCTATACAGAATTGTAGGGAAGGGTAGAGTATTATCCATAATTTTTAATTCTATTGCATTTAAAAAGATTCTAGTTAGGTCACTATTACCACTTTAACTTCATGTTT